CAAACATCCCCACCCAGCTCCGTGGGTCTTGGCAGATCACAGAGTTCTCTCTGGTTCTGCAACAGCCCAGGGCAGCGGTTCTCAACCTGTGGGTCGTGACCCTTTTGGGGGTTGAATGACCCTTTCACAGGGGTCGCCCAATTCATAACAGTAGCAAAATGACAATGATGAAGTAGCGATGAAAATAATGTTATGGTTGGGAGGTCATTACAACATGAGGACCTGTATGAGAGGGTCACGGCACGAGGAAGGTGGAGAATTACTGGCCTAGGGTCATGCACCTCTGCCTGGCCTCCTTCAGGGGGCTGTGAAGGTCCCCACGTGGTCCCAAGTGCTGTAGTCTCTTTGGCCCCTGCAGGTTCCTCTGCCTGCAGGAGCTCTTACCTCTTGTCCGCCAACACTCAGGCCATCATCAAGCCCCTGTGAAAAGTCACTCATGATATACCTCCAGTGCTGGCCTGTCCCTGCTGACCCCTCTGTCCCCAGCTTTTTTGCTAACCTCCATGGAAGTCCATTACTTACTAAGACTCCCTGTTGGACTACTGAAGAAAGTTCCAGTGGCTTCTTCAAGCCCTAGTGCCCCGTCTGACCCAGCCCAGTGGGTGCTCAGCACTACCTCCTGGAGGGGACAGTGGAGGCAAAGCAGCGCAGAGTGAGCCCAGAGCTCCTGACTGGGCGCCAGCCTGGTGGGGGCACTCCTTGTGACACATTTCTAGAACCCTTCCCATGGGAGAGTGGCCAGAGCCAATCTCATCCAGGCAGAAGGTCCGGTCTCCAGGGACCCATGCAGGCGAGTCCTACGGCTGGCCAACCAGATGTGGTGTGAGGCAGGGATCGGGGCTGGGTCCCTCAGAGCCTGCAAGCTGGGTCCCCAAGGGCCCTTCCTTGGGTCCTTGGGAGAGGCTGCTTCTCAGGGACTTCCTGCACAAGTCCTCAGGGGTGGGGTGGGTGGGGGAAGCGGCTTCTGCTTCAGTGGGCTCTGCACTGACTGGTCGCGACCAGTCTCACCCAAGCCCCCTCTGACCAGTTGGGAAAGTGTGGCCTCGAGGTTAGGCTCTGGAGCCAGGTGACTTGTCCCATCCCCAGTTCTGGCACGTGGTACGGCCTGTCTCCGTGGTTTCCTCATCCTTGAAATGGGCTTGATGACCCAAGTCGCCACACCTCAGGCGAGAAAAGGCCTGAGCTCACAGGAAGAGCTCAAGGTCAATCTCCGTGACCCCGACCGAGAGAAAGAGATGGGCAGCAGGTAGCATGCTCTGCCCAGAGGTCCGAGAGGCCAGGATCTCGGCCCAGGTGAGTGCGGCGAGATGACAACAGCACACACTCACACACTCGCGGGGAGAAAGACAACGCGAGACCATCTCCAACTGGGGCATGCCGGCTTCTCTCTGACTTAGCAATCCAACTTGGAATTTAAATTCACACAAGTGTGAAATGACGCTCTAGACAAGGGTGCTCACTGCCGCAAGGCAATAGCCCAAGATTGGAAACAACCTAAATGCCCATGAGCGCCATTAACTAAATTAGGGTACAGCCCTGAACGGAGCGCCTGCTATTAAGAGGGGTGGGGGCAACCCGTGTGTTTGCCAGATGCACTGAGTGAAAGCTTGGGCAGGGCAGAGACCAGGCATGGTCACGGTTTGGGCTAAAACAGTATCTCTGCCCCTGACAATACTGGAAAGGCTAACTCGCAGCGGGTACTCGCAGGGGACGGGGTGGTGGATGCCAGGAGATGCCTCTGGCGGGGTGGCTTCGGCGGTGTCCTTCTGCACCTTCTGCAGTGACATCAAGGGCATGTGCTACCTAATCAAGACAGGTGACTGGAAGGCGCTGTGACTCCCGCACCGAGAGGAGCCCCACCGTGGTGCCACCAGCCGCTGTATGTGCACCCGAGAGCGAGCTCGACAGATTGAGAAATGTGGCTCTGCTCTTACCTCTACTGGTGGGTAAGGAAATCTAATCAAGAAGTTTCTGCCTTTAGGAAATCGAGTCTCGTCTCCCCGTTGACACTAAATTGACGCTTTCGGTAATGGCAGAAGATGCCACCTGGGCACTGGTGTGACTGCGGGGGTGATGGAAGGAGGCCTTCAAGCTTCTTGGCACTGTGTTTCCCCCCAGAGAGAGGAGGGAATGCAGCCTGCATGCAAATGTCCTGAAATGAGCCACAGCCCAGCTTGCCACGGCGGGGTTCGCTGGAGACCACCATGGGTACAGGGGC